GAAAATGAGGCTATAACTCAGGCACAGTAGAAGAGAAGACCAACCAACACCCTCCATAAACATAGGCTGAGCATTATTTAAGAGAATTTTTCTTTGCGTACATTTGATAAAACAAAACAGATGATAGATATTTTAAAAATACTCTTCCCAAAGCACCTTTTGTTATTAAAACCACATATTTGTACTGTTAAAAGGGGGGGTGAGGGGGTGTGTACAATACTCAGCCCAAGAGAAGAGCACACTGACCCTAACACTACACGTGAAGATTTAATTTTGCAGCCTGTGAGGAAGAAACCAAAACAAGTTGAAAAGCGTGCCATTACTCCGCAGAGGCTCTGTAGCTCTCCTTAAGCACTGAGGAGAAAGGAGGCGGCCGGCCAAACTGCTAACATAGCCCCAAGAAGCTCTAAGGAGAGCAACGGCCGAGCAAGGTTAGGCTAAACAAACTTGAACTCTACCCATTTCGCCATCTTCATAAATCTGCCATACGCAATAACAACTCCACAAAGCAGCTTGATAACTGTCATTAGTGGGAACTGCGCAATGGCTCACTGGGGTCAAACAAGGCCGCCAGGCCAAAAAAACAATTTTGCTTTCATAGTTGCTTAACTGCTGTCTTACCAGCTTTAGGCTTGTATTCATTAAATACCTATTTCCAAAGTCTGCCCTAAGAGCCACCTCCTCAGCCTGTTACACCAGCATGAGAGCTGCTGAACGCCCGACGGCCACCACGCTTCTTGCAAATCTTGCAAATCTAGCATCCTGCAGTGCACTACAGTAACACATTTCCTTTACAAACCCTCATGTTCTCCAAGACCAATTTCCTATTCCTAGGATAAACGATATTACTACCGATTTTATTCACCAGAACTCACTTCAGTCTCAAAATACAACCCTTGTAAATGTAACTCGAGGTTTTCAAGCGCTATATAACTTTTTTGCCTGTTATTTTGTCTTCTTTCTCAACAGGTTCCTTCTCATGGTGATCAAAGCTTTAACATGTGAATGGGTTGTCTTACGTTTCCTCTCCCCAAACCCTTTAACCACAGTATATAAAAATGAATTTTGGTCACTCTGCTGTGTTCAGGGGCTTGCAATTACCACAACCGTGTCCGTGACGAGGCCGTGAGGTTGGTGCAAGCTCTGCCGCTGGAAAAGGAAGGTGGCACCGACTGGACCTGCCACTTACTTGGGCTCTGCTCTCTCCTAAGCCCGGACTGCACGGCATGACATCGGGGCACTCATCCCAGCTCCCTTCTGAGCCAAGCTACAGTTGGACTACCGCTGTGCTGAGGAAGTATCTTCCCTCCTCCACACTTTCTTCTGTTCCTCTAAATCCTTGGAATTAAAAGTCCGTCCTTTCTGCTATCACCTTAACCGTATGCAAAAGCAAAGTGCTGCCTTTGGAGCCTGCCTTTGCTGCAGCCCAGCACAAACCCACCTCGTGCTGCCTCAACAGTCGCTTTGCCTTCACGTTTCTGGAGAAGAGCCCACTTTGTAATTCTAAAGTCTCTTAATTCTGGTTTGAGCATCCTCAACAGCCCTTTAGCTAGTGTTAGCACCAAGAAAGTCTCTCAGCCTTCCTCCAGATCGGCTCCTGCCACAACCATCTTCCACCTGCAGGGGCTGCTCTGCCTCTCTGGTTTTACTGGAAAGCTGGAGGGGTTTGATGGGGTTTGTACATCACTGACAGGCTGTGTCACGGGAAGAGACGCGCCCTCTGATTTTGCTGTTGTCGATAAGCGTTGCTGAATGACGTAATAAACTGAATGACGGAGCAGGTTCCTTCACACTTTTAATTTTGGAGGAAGAGACGCGCCCTCTGATTTTGCTGTGGTCGATAAGCGTTGCTGAATGACGTAATAAACTGAATGAGACGGAGCAGGTTCCTTCACACTTTTCATTTTGGAGCTCATGCTCAGCAACTAAATAACTGAGGCACATACTGTCCGATGGACTCAGACATTCTTTTAGGGAACATATTCCATGTACTTTGTCAAGAAAGAACCACAGGAGAGATATGCTGAAAGCTTTTATTTTCAGGACGAACTTGAAGTGGAGAGCTGGAACATTTAGGATTTACCAAGGTCATTGGTTGGTGGATGAGAATGATCTATGACGTTCCTTTGAAGAGACAGAGCCGTGGATAAGGAGCACAGTGAATTTAGCCCGTCTGACTACAAAGTGGCCTGTGGAACGGATGCAATCTTAGCAGCTCCCCTGTACTTTCCGAGATGCTCCTCCACGTAGAGAAAGAGGGTATTGCTCTCTTCACCTACCTCACCTCTTCCAAAGATACGGAAGGGGCAGTAGGTGGGAGCGGAGTGCCGCACGGAGCAGTGTCTCCACCACAGACAGCACCCGTAAAACCTCTCCATTTCAGACACAGGAAGGAATGCAGAGAAAGGATTTTGCCCGTAACTACCCCAAAATGAGAGCAGTTGGTATGACCAGTCCCGTAGGGGGAGCGCTGTGTGTAGCACCTCAGCAAGAACCTGAAGGTACAGTGAAGCCCTGAACTCAGGAACAGAACTTCGCCTTGCTTCTACCCCATCTGTCACCATCCAAACAATAAACCAAGGGAGAAGCCAGCATGCTCGCACGCAAACTATTTTACAGTTACGCAGCGTTCCCCGTTCGAGGGCAGGAACCGATACGGCCTGACGAGAGCGTAACAGTTGCTACGGAAGATCAAATTCAATTAGGAGATCTGCAAAATACCGAGTGATTAAAGATGGATGAAGATCACAGACGGTGTTGAACCAAAAGACAGGCAAACAAAATGAGGGCAGATAGAAGTCAGCCAGGTAAGAGACGCAGATGGAGAGGCAAGGGCAGCAGGCTGAGAGGAAAGGGTAACGAGGGCATTGAAAGGCAATGCTAAATTTAGCGCGAGACCTAACTTTCAAGCCATGAACAGATGAACAAAGTTACTCTGTCCTCTGCAGATTCTCACTCAAAGTACAGCACAGCAGACTTTTGATTCTCACAGACAATATACAGAGTCTTAAAATATATCTGAAAACACGCTTTAGGACACTGTGCCTAAGATCTCCCCACACAGAAACACACTGCTCACTCCTGATCTAAATGAGGTCTGACATTCCCAAGGTGTACTATTAATGCAGAACAAACCTAGCTTAGAAGCAAGTCAGGATTTTTCTTCTTTCCTTTTAGCTCTTTTTTTTAAAAAAAAAAAGATTTATTGTTATTACAAAGCCTGATGTTGCAACTTGTGTGATTGCTACAAAAAACTTTCCATTTTGTGTTCCTCCTCACCACGCAATCCATGGCTGAGCTTCTCCCATAAGCTACCGCACCGCTGCTCACGCCACTTCAGCGCATCCGGGACCCCAACTGCTGAGACCCATCCCTCTGCCCGACAGCGCTTCGCACCTCACTCATTCTGCTAAGAACCAACTGCAACAGCAGCATCCCATTTTTCAGCACCAAAATTACTGCCAAAAGAAAAAAAAAAACCAGATAAGATCAATCACTAGAGAAATCATCGGTATTTGGTTACATGTTACTTTCACACAACAAATCAAAGTTTTGATAAAAGAGTGATTACTGAAAGACATGCTACTTTCTAAACATGTTGTGCGGGAAACGATTACAGAAATAAGTTTCTAATATTCCGTATCTATAGAGGTAACCGACACATACAAACTCAGAGGCAGAGAGACAATACGCAGTACAAAAAGTTTATTGACATGAGTTTGGGATGACCGTTCTACATACAAAGGTGAAGCATTCGGAAACAGTTAGATAATCCTTTCCTCTTCCAGGCTTAATTTGAGAAAAACGCAACTTTGGAAATGATAGGCATGACCACGTTACTGTCCGTAGCTCTCAAAACCATCGCCTGGGAGCCCATCGGAAGGCGCCGAAGCAGACTCTGCACCTCCTGCTGCCCACCAGACGAGGTACGGAGCCAGCGAGCGTTCCCCCACGATTACTGTTCACAAGCACGTAACTGCAGCTCCCCTAAAGAGAGACGGGGGAAATAAATACTCCCTTTGTAGAAACTCTCCCTCACGGGAACATGATCTGCCTCTGTAGCGGGGGGTAAAAACCGATCAAGACTTAATTTTAACTGCAACTCCAGTATCATTTCACAGCAATTACATCTTAAATCCACAACAGAAATTGATAATTACATAGTAACTCGTGTTATCCCTACTACATGATCGCCGATAATACTGTAGTTAAGCTTGTGCTCAAATTCCTTTTCAGTAAAATCTGTTTCTGTAAAACACTAGTATTTCTCGGATACTTTTAAAACACTAACGAAGTATATAAAAGTTCTTACAGTATACAAGAAAAACTAAGTTAATAAATGATCACATTGTCTTCAATTCTATCAAAGAATAAGAGTCTGAGAAAAATAACTTTTATTGCATTTTAATTTCTCGATCTCTTTCCTTTTTTAAAAGGTAGAAGTTATAACGGAAATTCATGACATTGTAGATGAAGAGAAGCTTGGGAGAAACAAAACCACAATTCAGCAGGCAGGTGATGGGGAAATCAAAGTATTGACTATGGCTTGGAGCTGAAAGTAACTGATCTGCATTTCCAATCATTTGAGTTATTGCCACATTCCATTGATTTTTCGTTAAGTGAAGATAAAAACACGTCTTTAAAATGCATGTACAATAGCTTTAAGCCATTGCTGTACATATTGTGCAACTCATCTGAATGCAGTTTAACACGTGAACTTAATAGAATATATTTATGTACAGTATATACACAAAGAGAATCCGGTGGTAATACCCCTGAATATTAAGATTTAAATGAGTAATATTCATAATAAAAGAAGAAAAAAGCCCCCCATCTATGAAGGTGGCAAAACTGCCCATTTCTGAAGTTTCAATCAATATAATTTCCAGCTGATTTACATAGAAATAAAACTGTGGTCCTGTACAAACTTTACATTACAGGGAAACAGTTTCTTTTTAAAAAATATTTACATATTTGAGTACTTGGTTCTTTGCAATAGAGATTATATGAACACAGAAAATTGTATGGTAGGCAGGTTTATTTATTAGATTTTTCTATTTGTTCTTTTTTGTGCAAATTCCAAATCTCTCTTTTTGTGTTATTATCTGCCTCTATTTGCCTTGTATTACTGCTGCTGCTTTTTTTAGTATTCAGAGGAGGCTGGGTGACTTTACTTCTAGGAACAGGAAGAAAAGATTTAACTCTTGAAACACCCAACTCTGTCTTTGATTTACTGTTGCTGCTTTCCACAGTTCGACTGCTGCTGAGAGGACGCATTCCATCCTGTGAATAACAAAAAAAACCAAAACAAAACAAAAAAAAAAAATCGTTTTCTGTAGAAATAATTATTGCCGTTCCACCTGAAAAACAACCACCCACCCAACCCTACCAGCCCCACGGAACCCTTGTTATTTACAGTCGTTTGCAGTTCAATATGACAGCTTCTTACTACTTGGTGAACAAACTGTGGCTCTTTTTTGCTTCTTTGACTGAAAGGGAATATCATCAACATTTTTGAACACCAAAATAAGGCAATGGGGTTTTTGCACTGCAATTGACAAAAACCTTAAATCTGATTCTCAGATGTCTCAATTTCAGGAGTACTCAAATAAAAAAAATACATGTTCTTCCTTTCATTACTGTGGAAAAAAAACAGCTGCAGCCACAGCTAAAAGGGAAAAATGGAAATTTAGGTAGTTATCAGAAAAAAAAAAAAATCAGCTTTACAGCTTGAATATTCACATTTTATTGTACTGTCAAGGCCATAATAATAACCAACCAATACTGACAAAAATAATACTTGAAGAACAGAAGTCGAAACACTAGTTACATTTTAATCCATAATCTTACAGATTGCTTTCTTCTAAATTAGATTTTAGCATCTCAAATTATTTATGCTAAGAAGCTACATTCTTAAAAACTGGACCATATTGACCCTGCCCAGCTTTAGATACCTGATGTGCCAAAGTCACGTGTGTTGCTGCTTGTTTATTCACAATCACAGAGAACGAGGTTAGGGAAGCCATTTTATGATAGCCTTTCATGAGCAATGCCTACCTTTCTACAGACAGGAGAGGAGAATTTGGACCTTAACCGTGAGCACCGGCTGAATCCAGATCACCCTCTGGGCAGCAATATCAAAAAGTTCATTTTCACCACCAGCTACTGCTCTTCATGTAAAGGCCGGTGGCATGAAAACAGACTATCCATCACTGTTTATTCCTTATTAATCCTTGATTCCATCGATTTGTATCCTGGATCAAAGATTTTGCATCTCTTACCAGTTCTCTTTCTCCTTCATACTTGACAACATTTTTTCTTCTAGTTGACTAAAAAAAAATTGATTATGGGTATGTTGCCCTTTTTGAGTAACTTATCTCATTACTGTTGATACAATCTCCTCTGCTTGTGCAGTATTGCTTTTGTTACCTACGGAGTTCTATTTACTTTCAGAAAAGGATGCTTTTCTAATCTCAAACTCTTTTTCTGACACCAGGTCTTGCAGATGCATCGGTTTATCATCGTTAACAATTGCCTCTAAAAGTTGGACTTCTGCTTCCAGACTGAGACTGTGCTCTTCTAGATTTTTGCTAAATTTGTTGTAGTAATGGCTAAATCTAGAAACAAAGCTTGTCAATTTATTATTGTCTGGGTTGCATTTCCTTCATTTTGGTCAACATTTCCCCACAAAGATATGGAAAATCCATTTTTTTTATTCTGTATGAAATCTTTTGACTAAGTTCTTCAAAAAACTCAAAGGTAGCTAAGCTTGTCTACCTCCAAAGTCAATATAGTTATGCCTTACATTGTTAGAAGGAATTTTAAAAGGAAAAAAATTCCCTAGGAAAAATTTACAGTAGGAACAGGTAGGTCAGCTGACTTACCAAATCATCCAGGCATCACTACTATGTGAAGCTCTGATTTGGAATGTCTGAAATTAATGTGTTTAGAGAAATATTCAAAAGCAGTATATCTAAATGTGGATCTGCAATGTTAAAATCGTTTCCGTTAGCAAAGACTGTTCTCTGGATTCTAAGTAAAATTATAGAAAATATTCTAACATTTTGAATATTTGCATATGAAAAAAGATGACAGTAAGGGTAGTAAAGTCATCTCATCCAACTTTAGCTTTTTCAATGCTTAGGTGTGCAAGTGAGGCTATTGTCAGCGCTACTTTGTTGTACCTGCAGAAAACGGAGCGTCTCTAGAAAACAATTTATCGCAGTCAGACAAAAGCGTCTGGATTGGACCCTAGAGGACCCCTCTCTCAAGGGAACACAGAGGGCCCAGTGAGGGACCACAGATGGCAGATTCTGCCCTGGCTAAGGTTAACCGAGCCCTGTGCTCAGAAGCTTTCTTGATGTTCAAAAACACAAGGAGCAAGAAAGAAAAAGGAAAAAAGTGTAACAACAGAGAAAGCGTAATTTTTACTTTATTATCCAAAGACTGAAAACGAAGCAGGATATAATTTCATTTTCATGTTTAGTAGGGACGTTATCACCCACAAACAACGATTTCAATTTCTGAAAAGATGATGATAGTGGACCTATTATATCTTCCAGTAGTATTCAGCTTATCTTCCCACTTTGAAACTGCTCTCAAGTTAGTAAAGTCTGTTTACATTTAGACTATCTTTTCCCAGAATCACCAAACTATACCACAGAGTTTCTTTTGATTTCTCATAAATAATACGTCAAGACAACTGTATAGTATAACAAATAGCTAGGTAGAAAAAAGAAACTGAATACCCTTTCAAAAAAATAAATTGCTATTCCTCACAAACTCTGGTAATATCACGTCTTCTCTGAATTTCTACCACTGAGAGCTTTGACACCAGAGCAGCTCAATTCTACTTCGAGAACACCACTTAGGAAAACCGTGGTTTGAAATCATATCTATTTGGGTAATCAAGACCAAAAAAAAATGGTAGAAAAATAAACCATGAGCCAGCAATTTTACATGAAGAATTTAAAGAAGTTTTGCACTTTTGCAAACTTACTGAATACCATTAATTGGGGGGGGAACAATGAACCCAGCATTTTTATTTCTCTCAAAATCTGATGCAAATAACTTCTAATGTCCAAGTAATGTCAACAATACTTGGCCTAGGGCGATGCCTTTACGTAAACATGAAAACTGAAGCAAATAGATCCATTGTTTAATAAATCTTTAGTTTCCATTAAGATGCATGGAAGAAACTTGGCATGGTACGCCTAGCAAGTTTCCTAAGAATCATGACAGTTTATTCTTGTAATAAACAGGGCACTGGACACTGTCTTTGGATCCAATCAGGAATTCAGATCTTGGAGAAACTCAAGATGCCTTCCCTATACCACTACAAAACTCGTTTCACCTACCTTTTGTGCTGTCGTTTTACTTGGATTAGTACCACTTGCTGAAAATACAGGATTGTTCTGTGAGTTATTGAACATCAACAGCTGATCCTTAGAATCTGCAATCTAAAAATAATAAGAAAATGGTGATTTTTTTTTTTTTTTTAGCTATTCACAGCAGAGATTATGTTTCAATTTGCCAAATTTTGGAGTCTTGGTTTTATTTTCATGTAGTTTCTGTGCAACGCAATGCATAAATAGCCAAAGAACGATTAAAATATTTTTCCTTTACTCTTGAGTGCATTTGTAGGAGATGGGAGATAAAGAAAGAGATTTCACATCGACAATTATCAGAGGAAGATTAAACATGCATTTCCAGGCAATACCATTCAGCAGAGCTTAAGGGCGGTTTCCCACTGAATTTTATCCAGCCCCAGGAACATCACAGAAAGGAACGATCCTTCTCTCTTCCTCCTGAGGTGTTTCCTCCCTGCTATTGTCCATCAAACCTTGTGACCATGCAATAGCAGATAGATTCTGACCAGCCTCCTGTCCTCACTGAAAACTAGATATTTTATCCTGGGGCGAGCTGATCCAATTTTGCAACTGCAAAAGTACTCAATCCCAACATAAGAGAGGCAGCAGGAACATATTCCAGTGAAAAAGCAAATTAGAGAGTAGAAGTACTGCTTTCGACGGCGGCCTGACGGTGGAACAGCACCCTCACTTCTGTACGGCTCCACTGGGCAGCTGGGGGGTTAGCAACCGAAATTCCAGGCAGGGATGGTTCCACCCATGGTGAGGAAACCAAACAAAAGACAGTGACATCTATCTCCTTCCTTATCTAACCCGTATTTCCTTGAATTGTCAACAACATTTTACACGTCATTAAACACAATTTTAAGTTGGTTATCATTTCTTTAAGCACATCCCATTCTTTCAAGGACAGACATGGTAAATCCCTGCTAACTGACTAGTGATTAGCTTGCCAGCTTGGGGCATGTGACTCATGCAAGTACTGTAAATACTTTAAAAAAACAAAACAAAACGAAAAAAACAAACCACCATAATAAAGGATTTCATTAAATAGGCTGAAAAGTCTTCCCAAACACAGTATTTCTTTTTTTAATAAAAACTTGGCTGCCTTCTAAGCATAAACAGAATACTTAATAAAGCAAAACTAGTGGCACTGCTGATCTCTCGGGAGCTCCTAGAGGATGCCATGCGCAGCCGAACTGGGCGATAGCCTAAGACTGGCTCTATCTGCGTTCCAAAAGGTGCGGAAGAGCTGCTGCAGGGTGAGCACAGCCTGCTGTCACAGCCACCTGCTTCAGCTATGCGCGGAGGAAAGCGGGAGAAGAATAAATAGCTACAGCTACAGGGAGAGCTGGATGCTTTTGGTGTAGAAGGAAAAAATAGAGATCCACGGCTCCACCCTCTGCTCCCATAACCACCCACATGCCCTGCCAGCATAGAACTTAGCCCCAAACCTATGAGCCTTGCAAGCGTCCTTCACCCTCTTCTGCCACTGTTAAAGAAAGAAGAATTAGGCCAATCCATTCCTCCTTGCTTGGGGCAGCAAAACTGCATTTTGCCTGCACAGCAGAGGAGCTTTGAGCCGGTTCTGTGAAGGCTAATGGGATTACATTAAACAATCCAAACGTGCGGTGCCTATTAGGAAAAACCTTCTATGTCTTTAAGACTACAAAACAGTTTCCCAGTGGAAGCAACGATAATAGGAAAGATAACATGGGGAACGATAATGCAGAGAAGGCTATTGTCGCTAGCGTTTATGATCTTATACATTTCAGCCTCCACTGCAAAAATCTCTACAGGAAAAAGTAGTGAACGTGTAATTTAAAATAATGTATATTAAACCAGAACGCATACCCTCAAATGTATAATTTATTAGTTGACTTTGGCTTATTCCCAAATAATTTAATAATTTTCTTCAGTTCAAGCAGCGCTTGTAAATTAAAAATTAATTTTAAACACGTAGCAAACAACTGCATATGGTAATGTAGTAAATTATTTAAAAGCCTTCTGTTTACCTTGCTTATATCAGGCTCAGATTTGCTGGAACACATACTTTGAAGCTCCTGCACAAGATCTACTTCATCATCAGAACCAAGGGACAGCCTTTGCTCCAGATTTAATGTTCTCAACTGATCCTTCTCTGAAGATCTTGTTTAAAAAAGAAACAACAAACAAACAAATGGAGAGAACAATTAAAATCAAGCTACGGTACAGAATTTAAAAATAAATATTATACACACCTGAAGAATAGTAATTTCTTTCCAAATTACCTTTACTACCACAAACAGAAAGAAAATAATATCTAATTCAGTGGCAGCAATAGTTGTCAATAGTTGTTACATCACCACAGAACGTTTCTATTTAAATTATTCTCTCCATTCTGAAATTCTAACAAAGGATTCTGCTGCCTACTCTCTTCAAAGATTCTCCTCTTTTTAAGACAGAGCAATCAATTTTTATTCCACTCTCCTTTTTGGACTTCATTCCAAACACTTAAAAAAAGCCCTGGCATGCTGGAAGCATAAATATTCTATGCTCTCTGTGCCTGTGAATATGGTAGAACCAAGGTTTCAGACTGAGCTAAAGTCTCAAACGCAGTTCCCTCTGGCGAATTTGTACACTTTCTTAGAGAAACTCTATCATTTAGACTAAAGTGCATGCACTATACCATTCTGAATTGCCATTCCGTAAGCTAAAAGAGCCAGAGGAGTTTTTAAAATACAATGCCAGGTGAGAAAAGCATACGGTTGGCTTTTCAGGGCAGAGTAAGTGTTACATAATGTTCTTAAGTCATAGGCTATTCTGCTACATAAAAAGACATGTAGTGCTGCAAGGTTTGAATTACAGAAATGGATCCTAAAATTATATCCAAGTACATAGATTTCATTTTCTCTCAGAAATGAAAATTAAAAAGGATTCCTTTCTTCAGATGTAGAACCAAAACCTTACCAAATACAAACTCTTCATTTATTCATTATAATGTGCTGGTTTACAACACAATTTTATCACCTTTATTGTTTGCTAAGTGTTACAAATAACAGAAATTAAAACTTACTTTGTGGCAAGAGAAGCTCTTTTCTTATAGTTCGGTTGCAACATAGTCTTAGATGTTATACCTGCACAAAAGAGAGATTGACTTATTAGTGTGTTATCCCATGCGTTGATTTCTTTCTTCTAAAATCTGTGATAAACAGGGAAAATGTGTTCCCATTTACTGGCTAATTATACCAATAGTCTGTCAGAGATGAGAACGCGTCCCTTGAAGTTGTCCACAGTGGCATTCGGAACTGCTGAAATGGCAAACGGGGCATGAGTTGCCCAAGCTTTTGTGGAAGACAGAACATGAGGTTTCTGTGCGAGGCACTTGAACCACCCTGACTGGCTCCCTCAAAGAGAAGTCACTTGTCAACAGGAAAAGATTTAAGTTTGCTTCATTTAAGAAAAATCAAACAACTTACCCTTACTCGGAATCAGGAGCGTTATTTGATTCTGATAGTCAGAAGGTTACTAAAATTAAATTCACCATTCTATTTTTTTTACTTATATTCACAGCTATTAACTGGAGTCCAAGAACATTCCCAGGTACAAGATACAGTATCAAACATGCTACTTCAGGTTATGTTCATTTGATTTCTTAAATCCTCTTAGCGGGACTATACAAATTCACAATTCAAGTAGAACTAGCAAGAAAAATCGGGACATCAGAGCTGCAGTTCAGAAAAAGCAGACTTCTTTCGGAACAAGACCTGAAGAAATTAATAGCTCAATTTAACATTACAAAGTATCAGGCATCAAGAATTCCAGGCTTTTATAGATGAGGTAACTGAGGCTATAATCTTCCTGTTTCTAAAGTGTGTGTCTGTGTACTCCTCTTTCTCTCTAAATCCCTTCCTAACTCCTCTCTCTGAAGGAGTTACCTTCATTTTCTGAAAGCAAAACAAGTAATTTGATTTTGTCCTCTAGAAGTTTTCCTGTTTGACACTCTAGTCAGTTCTGGCATTCCAAAGTTCTCCTTCTAGACAGATGTGCACTTTTAGAAGAATAAGAAGTTGCGCCCCTGCGCGTACCCAGACGTTATCCCTGTGTAGTGAACTGCTCGTTAGATGGCTTATGATCTTGAGGTGAAAAGACATTTCAAAAGTGTCAGCTACTAATATAACTTTGCATTTATACACATGCATAGACCCGGTCATATAAAGCCGTCTTTGTCGAGCAGCAGACTGAAAATGATGTGGAAACTTCTTGAAAAACTTTACAGTATCTGTGACTACACAGATTTTTTTATATTTATTTTTTGCAATTAAAGTAAAAATCAAACAAAAATCTTCAATTTAAAAGGAAAGATCTCTTCCTTTCGCTACGGGGCTTCTAGACTATTCTACTCAATTTATCTAATAAGATTGAAGAAGGGATGCGTAATCTGAGGATGCATGTATTCATTTATTTTTACTTGGATTCAGACAATAATAATTATTGTAGTGAAGCTATGAAGTACGTGTAAAAAAACTGAAAAAGTAGGTATACTGTAAATTAGGTGGAGAACTAAGGAATACCAATCGAGTAATGAAGCTTTCTCTCATCCAGTATGGAGGAAGAGAATGATAAAGCATCATTCCATCCAGTATGAGGTGGAACCACTGCTCGGTCTTCCACCACCTAAGCCAAAGCCTGCCTCATCACAACACAACGGGAAGGCCATTAGAACAAACAGATAGACAATTAATTAGGGTACCTCACAGTCACAAAGAAATAATTGGGGGGGGGGGGGGGGGGGGGGGAGAAGAAC